GTGTGTGTGTGTGTGTGTGTGTGTGTGTGTGTGTGTGTGTGTGTGTGTGTGTGTGTGTGTGTGTGTGTGTGTGTGTATGCATGTCAGAAAGTGTCAGGATGAACCACTGACTCATTTTTTCAGTTTAATAAGAAGTCTGTTCACCAACAGAAGGAAATCCCGTCCTTCCATTGAAGATCCAACAATCAGAAAACCCGACAGGTGAGTAAAATAACACATCAACACACAGAAAACATGGAATATTGTTAAATTTTTGTTTGTCAACAGCAGGGCAGTGTATATAATAGAAATGTTAAATAACTTAAAGATAAAGTTCACAGTGTGATCATCTCTGGACCAACTTTCAAGTCCTTAAGATTGTTAATCAAAGATAAATTAGCTACAATTAATGTGAACAAGAACAAAATCAATTTAAGCTGTTTGTAAACCAGCTTTCCCTTAAACTAAAAACTTACATCAGCCACTAATTTTGTTATTTCTAGTAAATTAAATGTACCGAAGGATTATGAACAGTTATTATTATTAACGGTTTAGTCTTAAACAATACAACAATGTGATGTGTCATTTTATCCTCTATTCTATTCTAGTTTATTGAATTGTTTCAATTGAAATTTATGAATATATGCTTGGAAATAGCTGTTGTATAAAGTTTCTACAGGATTTGCAGAAATAAAAGTGAACATTTCTAATCTGAGTCCAAAACATAACGTGTCTTGAGGAAGCAGAATAAATGTAGAAAAGGACAGAATGTTTATGTCTTTACTTTGTTTCTTACATAGTTTCTTATTTGTAACTCTTGACTTTGACCAGATTCATCTTTGCAATCAAATGTTAAATCCAGTGTTTTGGACCATGGGTGGTAATTATGGGCTAGCGGTCTTGGTGGGCGTGGCCATACTTCTGGAGGCTGTCCAATGTCAAGTGAGCTGCAAAGGAGCTGATGGTGAGCGAGGAGTGAACGGCGCTCCGGGCAGAAATGGGTTGCTTGGAATGAAGGGAGAGAAAGGAGAGCCAGGTAACACCCTGCTAAATGCACAAGCATTAACCTGCTTACCGCACTTGGTTTATGTACTTATTTTATCTTAACTGTCAATACAGAAGTTGAAAAAAATAAACAACAGAAGCTGAATAAAAACAACAGAAGCTGAATAAAAACAACAGAATTAGAAGTATAACAATCATTTATCTGCATTATTATGTTATTCTTTTAGAACACATTCTACTTTATCATTCTTTCTCTCACTGTTAGTCCTCCGCTTCTTTTCAGCTCACCTCAGTGCAAATCTTCACATGTTTCAGTTTCTGTCACTTTTGCAGCTCTTCCTTTACTTCTACTGTTGTGTTTTTATTCAACGTCGTTCTGTTTTGTGTGCTTTTGCAGTGTTTTTCTATTTACTGGTGTGCTTTGAAATTTTAGTTTACAGTTTGATGCTCCGTGTGTTATAGAACCACTACACTAAAGAGTCAGACGTGCTCCACTGATAATGAGTGACATTGTTACTCTGTAATTGCTGGATGTATAAATAAGAAACAAAGTCTTCACAGGTGCTTTTGTCACCCCTCAACTGGTATAAAACTCAAAGACTGATGTGGAATAATTAATTTTCTATTTGTAGCTGTGATGATTCAAGGTCCAGTGGATACAGCCAGCCTACTGAGGCAGAAAGGAGAGTCGGGAAATCGGGGCACGCAAGGACCCCAGGGCCCAAAAGGTTTCCGCGGAGATTTGGGGAAAGAGGGTGAGGATGGCCCCCCAGGTCCTCCTGGCCCAGACGGCAGGTTGTCCCAAGGTAACGAAGAGATCATTTCTGACCTCGCCATATGCTAACATACAGAGTATATCTTTTAAAACACAGCAAACATAATGCTGAACTCATATTGAGTACACAATAAGTTACACAATGGATAGTAAAGCAGGGCAACGTGGAAATGAGAGTTTCTTTTCTTTACTGGTACGTTTAAGCTAGCATATGTAGTCAAACAGTTATCCAGCATCTTGTGCATAATTTGTGACATTCACATGTTACTCATAAGCACACATAGTGTAACATCAGAATATCGAGTGACCACCAGCATTGAGTGTCCAGTCTCATAACATAGCCATGAGTTCTACCTTATAAATTAAACATTAAACGCATCATTCATACTTGTGTGTATGTGTGTGTGTGTGTGTGTGTGTGTTCTCTTAGCAAGACACACCTCTCAGCAGGAGTCCCGTTCGGCCTTCTCAGTGATCAGAACCGACAGAAATTATCCTGCCTTCAACCAGGTTCAGTCTGATGCCCATCACACCTTTCACTCCCTCAGATGTTTCATTTCTCATATTCTTAGTCTTAATATCTGGACATGAGTCCCTCTTAATGTCACACACACGAGTTTGTTACCTCCCTTCAGCAATATTTACCCATGCAGATATTTTCAGTTTTATCAAGTCACAGTTTGTGTGTATAACACAGACTCCTGACACAAAATACTCTTTTAAGAACAAGGTCCAAATGTGACGATTACATTTTTTTCGTTTGAAGCCAAACAACTGCCACTTTTTGACCTCAATCTCAAAACTGACTTTGAAATCAAATAATCAATATTTTTTTCTTTTTTTTAATGCGGCCCTAATACTGCTTCATAAACAACAGCCTCTCGTTTTTCTCTTACAGTTTTTAGTTACAAGGTTATTGTTTTCCTCTTTGTGTGTGTGTTTGTGTATCAGAAAATAACCTACCAAAAAGTTGTGGTCAACACAAATGGTGATCTTGACACACGCACAGGTGTCTTCACCTGCAGAGTACAGGGTACCTATTACTTCAACTTCCACTCTGTGGCCAAGGTAACTTGCTCCTGTCTGTTCCACTGTAAAATAAATCATACATATTGTGCACATTAGTGTGGCTTATGCTATCATCTTGACAGGCACATTGTGTGTTAAATGCAGTGAAAGCTTTATAAGCTTATCCATATTTCTTCCCAACATTTGTGTGTTGTGTGTTTTTAGGTCAGCATGTGCCTGCAAATAGTCTATGATGGACCAAGAAGAACCCTGGGATTCTGTGATAATAACAGGTCAAACAGGCAATCTGAGCAGGTTGGTTTCAGGTTCAGTGAGAACAAATATCTGTTTGTCTAAAAGAAATCCTCCTCTAATAATATCCCTGTATATTGCCTTGGGTTATTCTTTACAGTGACTGCAGCATTTTGTCACGAAGCCTCGACTTGATCGGCTGTGTTGCCTTTCAGGTGCTGTCAGGTGGTGTGGTTTTACAGCTCACAGTTGGACAGAAGGTCTGGCTTGAGTCCTTTAGGGAAAACCAGGGACCTACTGATACCAGGGAGAACCAGGAAAAAAAGATCATCTTCAACGGCTTCCTGCTCTTCCCAAGTCCAGCATAGAGTTCAGCTGTACGCTCAGAAATTTAACTTCACAATGGAGTCTGTGCTCAAACACCAGACTGCATCACTTTGTCAGTTTAATATCTAAAAATCTCATATTTCAGTTGTTGTTTTAAAAGCAGCATCACAGCATTAACATGCATTATCATCTAAAGAACACAATTTCATGTGAACATGTAAGCAGGTAATTTTGTGTCTACTCATGTCAGACTCATGTAAATTTTGATTATTAGCACTGACTAAATAAAATTGAAGGCTATTATTCATTGTGATTGTGTCTGCTGATATTAAATCAATGAGAAATGTACTTTCATACAATTTGATAAATTAAACTGTATTCATCTTTAGCATCCAGTAAAGTAAAAATACAGAAGATATAAAACCTCCTCAGGATCAAGGCTAGAGAGCCCCAAAAAAACCTATTTCAAATGGGAGGGGTCGCCACAGCGTGTTTGAGATACAAACCTCCCAGTGATTTGTATCTCCTCCTGATACTGAACCAGAGAGCTTTCACATGCTAGATTAACTACTAAACAATGTACATCATGCAATGCAACAGACAAGGCTAGAGTTAAAGATTGATGCTTTTAAAGGTTTTTGTTTTTTTTCCAAATACATGCTCTTTGGATTCCAGTGCTCACAGATATAGATTGTAATATATCAGTCAGCACCAAGCCCATTATTTCGCACTGAAGAAGATGTCGTCTGCAGGTCATCTCAAGAACATTCAGGAATAGTTTCAAAAATCCACTGCTGTAAAACAGTTGTAGTTTTAGATAACAGTGTTTTATGCTTTGTTGCAGTAATGGAAGACTCAGTGGAGTGCCTGGAAAAACTGTAAAACTTGTGAAAATACAGTTAAAAGTCCAAAATGTATGGAATAGATTTTGTGACTGGCTGCAAAGTTTTTAACGAAAAACATAAAAAATTTAATCTTTGGGGTAGCCTATTTTTAAGAAAATATTCTAACGATGGTTAAAGGTTATTTTACAGTGACAGGTTGGCTATCTCTGCACACTGTTGTTGTTGTGACTGTCCAGGCTGAAGAGAGTGGGTTGTACCGGAGCACTTTCCCCGGAGTTAACGGCCCATTTGCCTGTGTTACTGAGTAAACAGACAAACTGAGATCAAAGCGTCCGGTTCTTGAGAACATATGTGAACATTACAGTATATATATTCATATATGTGTATACTGTTAATATGGCTGCTCATATTAAACATCGTCAGTGTTTTAATAGAGGTCAATGTAAGGACAAATCACACCACATCAAATTCCCCAAAATGAGTGGTGTGATTTGTCCTATCCAGGTGCAAGTGATGAGATGGAGTGATGCTAAAATTTTACCCCCTGAGTCTGAACTCTCTGTGTAGAGATGAAACTCCTCCTATCTCTCTCTCTCTCTCTCTCTTTTTCTCCAGCTAAACAAAAACAAAACTGAAGTAATAGTCTTTGGTGCCAAAGAAAAACGATTACAGGTCACCAGAGAACTTCAATCTATACATCTAAAAACCACAAACCAGGTGAGAAATTTGGGTGTAGTGATGGATGCAGACCTAAACTTAGAAAAACACATTAAGACAATAACAAAGTCAGCTTACTATCACCTCAAGAATATTTCAAGGATAAAAGATCTGATGTCTCAACAGGACCTGGAAAAACTAGTCCATGCATTCATCTTTAGTAGGCTTGATTACTGTAACAGCATCTTTACAGGTCTACCTAAAAAATCAGTCAGACAACTACAGCTCATTCAGAACTCTGCTGCTCGAGTCCTCACTAAGACCAAAAAAGTGGACCACATCAGTCCAGCTCTGAGGTCTTTACACTGGCTGCCTGTCCGTCAGAGGATAGACTTTAAAGTTCTGATGCTGGTCTATAAAGCTCTGAATGGTTTAGGACCAAAATACATCAGTGACCTCCTGACCAGTATGAACCTTCCAGATCCCTCAGGTCATCTGGATCCGGTCTTTTATCAGTTCCCAGAGTCAGAACCAGACACGGAGAAGCTGCATTCAGCTTTTATGCTCCTTATATCTGGAACAAACTCCCAGAAAGCCTCAGATTAGCTGAAACACTGAGCTTATTTAAATCCAGGTTGAAGACTCACCTATTCTCAGCTGCATTTGAATAAAACACCAAATCCACACTTTAAGCTTAAATTTCAAAACTAACATTTTAACTACTGATTTTATCTACTGTTCTGATTTTGCCTACTGTTTTTTTAATCAATTTTAAATCATGCTTTTTATTTGTTTTTGTTCTTTAATGTCTCTGTAAAGCACTTTGAATCACCTTGTTGTTGAATTGTGGTATATAAATAAACTTGCCTTGCCTCTTTCTTTTTTTTATTTTATTTCTGCCCATGCACAAACAGCTTTTACTGCCCATCACCCTTTAGCTGTCTAATTTATCAAACAGGAATATTTCATGTGAGCCCCTCCTAAGGTGGTGAGGGAAGTGAAACATGTTCTGTTGTTCGCACTTCTTCTTTTGGTAAACTTTTGTATCTCAGCAGACCTCTAACTTCTGTTTGTGTGTACATTTGGTTGAATTGCTCAAATCTGTTCTTCAGATTCTGTCATGAGTCAGAAACGTTTCAGAATCTTGTACTTTCATAATCCCACTTTTTATACCAGTTTCACTGTGGTGGTTCACAAACGAATAACATTCATGATTAGGTGACCTTTGTAAAGAATCAGTCACGCTTGGTCAGGACCCCAAGAGTCAGTTTTTGGGACCATGGGTTAAAATGTTTCATTTGGCATTAACTTTGTGAGCAGTTTGAACCAAATCTCAAGTATGTATGTCTGGTGCCTAAGTATCCCGAAACTGGGTGAAACTAAAACAATACTTTATACCGAAATAAACATCTCTTTGTATTTAGCTTGATGAGATGATGAGATTACAAATACTTTATTTATCATCAAATACTTTTTATATGATTTGAACCTACTGTGCTCTTACCTCTCATTGTCATGACTTCCTTTCATAGTAAAACCTACTTCACCCCATAACCAGCAGCAGGTTCAGTTTCCTCAGAGTCTCTTCCACCATGGACCTCACCAGCAGCAGCAGCAGCAGCTTTATTTAGGTTACAGAATGTAAAGCAGAATGTGACAGACTATCACCCCGGAACTAAATAATACAAATACTTCCAAAATGTGAAGGCCGTCCTGTCTGCCATCACGCTAGCTGACCATAATGTGGACTAACACAGCTGTAGGTTTAAATATACTTCATTAGCAAGTAGCAAAATAAAAAGTAACACAGACAATACAATGTCAGTTTGTTTATTTAAAAAAGTAACTAAACTGATCACATTGCTTGTAATTTAAATTACACTGAAAAACGAAGAGCTTGGTCTGAGGGCAAAACAGTAAGCACAACATTATGAGTAATGCAGCAGGTAGTTATTCCAGGCAAAATGCATCACCATGGCAACCATAAACAGGGATACAAAATCAGAGCTGTTCCAAATCTAACTTAAACCTTAATCTTTTCCTAAATTGAGGTATTTTGTAATGCTTAAATTTAGCATAGTTCTTATATCCTC